CGCTATGACGTGAAGTATAATTATGCACGCATGCCTGAGTGCCTGATTGCTCCTTTCGCTGAACAGTGTTCCAGCCACCGCCAGCAATGCAACGAAAATGAGCAAGAAACCCTGCATTTCTTGAGAACCAGCTTGAAGCCCACTAGCCACGGAACGCGATGCCGTTGAGCTCCGAACCTTGCCACACAACCCAAAGCCTCGCCCCAAACTCTCTTCTTGGTTAGTACCACCCTTGAGCTGACATCTTTCCCTCCCTGTGTCTAGATGAGTCCTGTGGCCAGGCTTCCGACGACTGCATCGACATTGGCCAGGGCATGGGGTGTGGGTGTGTGGGGGCAGTTGGCGATCTGAACGCCCTCTCTATGCGGTACAAGCTTTCTGTTCGTTTTCATTATACCCATATTGTATCACGTACGTCATAGTCATAGTGCTGTGTTTTGCAAGTCAACATTTGCACAGGGACCATTCGGACCGAGACTGTTTGGGAGCCTCCAATTGTGTCGAGGGGGAACCCTAGTGATCGTAAAAACCAAGTGTGTGTTGGCAGTCAATGGCTTCCGGAACTGAGGAGAAGATCCTGCAGGCCGGCGGGTTCAAGCTTTTGTCGAGTTTCAATGCTGCCAGTTGTAGGCCAACTGCTCTTGGAGGTCTCTTGGGTCCGTCTCTCTCCCTCTCCATGCTTGCGTTCGCGGCTCGAGTTGCAAGTTCCACCGCTGTGATCATCGCCCGGCTAAAGAGTCATACCGAGAGCTCCGCCAGCGATGGAGCGAAAGTCGGAGGAGTCGGAGTTGAAGGTCGCCATCATCGGCGCAGGGCTCGGAGGCCTTACCCTGGCCAAGGCCCTTCTGCAGGAGACGGGGCCGGTGGCCGGTGCTGGCCGCCGGGCTTGTCGGGTCCGGCTCTACGAGGCTTGGGATGAGTGGAAGGTGCGCGGCGGATCTTTGGGGCTCGCCGCCGGCGCTCGGATTCTCAAGCGCCTAGATTTGGGCAAGGAGCTGGATGCGGTCTCCAATCGCGGCCAGGGCATGAACTACTTTGCGCAGGGGGAGAAGCTGGGCTCCTTGGCCGTGTCAGGCCACTTTGCCATGCGCACGGACCTGCAAAGGATTTTAGTGGAGTCCTTGCCTTCTGATGTCATCAAGCTCGGGCATAGGTTGGTCGACGTCGTGGAGGAGGATGACGGGGCCAGACTGTCCTTTGAGAATGGAGCAACGGACTTCGTCGATGTGGTCGTAGCAGCAGATGGCATCCACAGCTTTGTGAGGCAGAAGGTTTTCGGTGCAGACGAGCCGGATTTCACAGGCTTCCGAATCCTCTACAGCATCTCGTCGAAGCCTATTCGCCCGGATCCTACAATGGCCAACATGCATTGGATGGAGAAGGATGGCACAGGCTTTGCTGTCCTGGATGTGACCGCTGGACAGGGAGAAAGCCGTCACGACATCTGCGCGGTGATCTTGAGAAGCAAGGAACCGGTTTCTGATCGCTGGGACGCCTCCATCGTCCAAGAGCGCTTTGCCGACCTGGCCCGACATGCAGCGCCTGACCATGAGGTCCTGCACCGCGCTGCAGAGGACGCGGATGTCTGCTTTGACTGGGGCGTCTACAGGCAGCCGACCCGCTCCTCCTGGATCTCAGCGCGGGGTCGCGTCGTGCTTCTGGGCGATGCGGCGCATGCCACTGCACCCTTCATGGGCCAAGGCGCCAACATGGCCATGCACGATGCTTGGTGCCTGAGCCGTATCTTGCTCAATGAAGACCTCTCGCTCCAGGAGGGTCTCCATTTGTACGAAGTGAACCGCAAGTCCCACTGTGAGAACGTGGTGTCTCAGAGCTCCAAGGTGGGGGAGATGGCGACGGCCACTGGCCTCAGAGCCTTGGCCCGCAACTACCTCTTGAAGCCCATGCTTCTGTGGAACCTTAGCAAGGCCTGGGCCACGGACCCCACGGAGAGGAACCCTTGGGAGCCGGAGCCCATGGGTCTCTTTCAACGTTTGGGCCTAAGGCTCAGGGCTTTCTGTGAGTGACGGGCCCGAAGGCTCCCGAAGCCCAGGGCTTGTACAGCTTGCCCAGTGGCTTATGCCCTGCTTGGTTCATGTGACCCAATGTACAGAAGGCACAGATTCCATGCCGGGAACTCGAATTCCGAACCTCACTGCCGGGCGCCTGGCCTGCAGATGATGGCTGGCATGAGCACGGCCAAAGCGCGTCAAAACGGTTCTCGTCTCTGTCGTCACACAAACGCCGCCCCTTGCAAGCAGCACCATCATTGACATAGAGGTGGTGCACTTCCGAAAACCCACGAAAGCCTGACTCCACAACTGCCCTAGAGACAACCAATCCCTTGCCGTAGTTCATTCCTAGTCTCTGCCTTCAGGGCCCTGTGGAGTTTCGCAGCGGGGCCGAGAGCCACCGAGGGATCTGCCACGGCGGAGTCGGGGCCCCGGGACTTGGGTTCTCTTCGGTTGAGGGCCACTGGGGAGGTCCCCTTTGAGATCAGGGCGGCGGGGTGGGTCTGTTGGGGAAGCCCTGTTTGCAGCCAAGCCTACTCGTTTCCATTGCAAGCGGCCCTTGCACGGAGCTCCAGGCCATGACCTCCGTGAGGGCCTGAGGAGAGGAATGCAGCACCCATGTGAAAAAGCGCGCGACCCAGACTTCACCCGAGCTCTACTAAGGCCATGGACGACGTCCTGGGCCACCTGGCCTTCCTGGCGGCCGGAACTGGGCCCTGGAGCGGTGCGACGGTGCAGGTTTGGCCCGAGTTCAGACCTTGGCTCCTCCGCCGTCACACTTTGGATCTGGCGTCAGGTGAACTGCAAGCTCAGCAAACCCGATCCTTCGCTGCAGAAAGCCCCAGTCCATGAGCTTGGGGGCACGTAGTTGGCAGAGAAGTCCGTGGACGAAGTCGGAGCCGAGGTTCGTGTCGGTCAGACGCTGCTTTTGGAAGGCAGAGTCGCGAAGCAGGTCGGGTGTGAGAAGAGCTGCAACACATAGCTGCAACACATGCATGGATGGATGGATGGATGGATGGATGGATGGATGTACGTCTACGCAGGCTTACATACCCAAACTCCTCTCCTGGCCCATCCACAAAGTGCACCAAGTCGCTGGAGGAGAAGAAAAAGGTCTTTGTCGAGGCCCGGCTGCTGGACGAGGTGGGGACGCCAGAAAGGAGTTTGGCATCGAGGGTTTGGGCAGTTCAGGTTTCACGGTTGAGGGGTGTTTTGGGGTGTTCGTGTGTATGTGTGTGTGTGTGTGTCTCTTCTTTGTTGGAGTCTCGCAGGTAGTTTGAATCTTTTTGATTTGGGACATTTGATTTTGAATATCTGAAAGCCAGCCGACCATGTGAAAACAAACCCGGCCCGCCTCTCAGTGCGCTTTTCGGCCACTTTTCGGGGTTGTGGATTAGGAGGGATTTGGGGTTTACTGGTAGGTTTAGGTTTGAGAGTTGGGGAGTTTGCTTCGGATTCAGGGAGTTGGGAGTTGCGGATCTTGGGGGCTTGGGATTCAGGGAGTTTGGGGTTTGGAGTGTTGGGATTCGAGGAGTTTGGTGTTTCAGGCGTTTGGGCTTTAGGGTTTAGGGAGCTTGAGGTTTAGGGTTTCGGGAACTTAGGGTTGTGCAGTTTGGGGTTTGAGGAGTATGGGTTTGACTTGAGGTGTGGGGTTTGAGGGGTTTGAGTTGAGGGAGTCTCGGGTCGAGGTGTTTGGGGTTTAGGGTCTAGCGTTTAGAGGAGTTTGGTGGGAGTTTGGTGTTTCGGGTGTTTGGTTTTTCGGGTTTAGCGAGCTTGGGGTTCAGGGGTTGGGGTTCAGGGTTTTGGGAGTTTGGGTGGGGTTTTGAGTTTGGGGAGTTCTGGGTCGGGGTTTAGCATTTTGGCAGCTTGGGGTCACGGTTTAGGGGGCTTGGGGTTTTGAGAGTTTGGAGTTTAGAGTGAGTTTGGGGTTTGAGAATCATGAGTTTAGGCTTTAGGGCTAGAGAGTTTGTGCTGTAGAGTCGGGCAGTGGTTTGAGGAGTTTTGGGTTTAGGGGGCTGGTCCTAAGCCCGCCAGAAATTAACAAAGCTGATTGAAACCATGGTACCTGGTCCAACGGCAGTAGGAGGAATAGTTATAGTCTAGGGAGAAGGGCTTAGTCTTTGGAGTAAGGCCCATCGTCCTGTCGCTTAACTTTTGTGTGGCCTTCTTTCTGGGTTGGCATGGCGCAGAATATGTGTCGAACGGCAGTGGAGTATCGACGCGGACTGCGGGGAATGTTGTGGCAGGACGTGGGGCCGAAATGTAATAAAGAAGTTTGGTAGCCGAGACCCAGGTTCTTAAAGTTCGCCCATGGAGCCCTCAGCTCCACTCATTATCACGAGGCTGGCGACGTTTACGCCACTATGGACGGGCTCTCCATCGTAGGCCATTCGGGTTTGGGGCAGATGTTCTCAAGTTCGGGGAAGTGGGCAGCCTCCACCCTTCATTGTTGCACACGCGGAGGACCATGCCAGCCTCCCATCCGTCTATCGCACTTGGACCCCAATGCCGCAAAAGCCTGCAAAGCACTTTTAGGCACTCTTGTCATCTCAGATTGTGTTGCGCAGGTGCCAAGATCCAGGCCGAGGACATGGGAAAAACCAGACGAGAAAGCACCCACTTGACAAGAGCTTGTTGAATTGTGCATCTTGTTTGAGTTCCTGAAGTTTGGTTTCGCGGGCGCAGGCTCTGGGAAAGCGATGATGTCGGAGATTGTGAGTTCTGTGAAATCCTACCGGGAACGGCGATGGTGAATAAACAGGTCATTCCTTGTACTCACACTAGCGCTACTGTTTCTACCAATTCTGCTGCCATTTCTGCCGCTGCTGCTGCTGAAGTGCCAGTACCCCAAACCCGTCGTCTTACGACGGTCCCAGTAGTCCCAGCAGCAGACACAACATGAGACAGGGCATGACAAGATCACATGAGATGGTAGTAGAAGCACCGAGAATCTCATGAGTAAGGGATGGAAAGAAGCCCCCCAAGGGTCTGTTCCGTAGGGTTATTTCTTAGGTTTCCGGCCCCAAGCTCCCAAGCCAAAAAGGAAACAGACCTGGACAAGCGTCGTTGGCACTTCGATGATGAAATGCGTGCAGCAAGGGCCCCGGACGGCACCTGCATCAGCCTTTTGATCCTTTTGGCGTAGAGCCTACGAAGTCGACTCGAATCCTAATTACCTATCTGTTTTGGGGGTTCCTTATTACAGTTCTAGTATAAGATACCCCCAATTGATGTCTGAGTCTGTCAGGTGCTCGACAGCCCGGACCATCGGCACGTGCTGGGAGGCCATGGCAGCAGTCAGCAATTTTGGCCCTGTGAGTCAGCGAGGGTAAAAGCGGGGAGTGTCGCTCGAGTTCTTGCTGCAGCAGTTTCGGCCGCAACTTGCCGTCTGCAGGCGCTTGGAAAGTACCCCCTGGCACCTTTTTAGCCATGGGCTGCAGCTCGACGAAGATTACTTCCTTCGACAAGCTTGACGTTCGGTTCGACGAGCGGGAAATCCTGCCGTCATTGCCCCGAAGGGCCAGCAAGATGGCGGGGAGACGGGATCCCACACAGGTCGGTCAGGTGTGTACGTCAGAAATAGAGCCACTAGACTACACGCTGCCTCATTCATTGGAGGAAGAGTCCGATGCAAGCACAGACTGCTTGTTGCCGGGCAGTTGCGTTTGTGTCCATGTCCATGTCCCAGAACACCTGCGAGGGGTCATCAAAGAGCAGCCGATGCTCGGAAGCTTCAAAGAACCGTCAGAGACCGAGTGCTCTTGGAACCTGCCCGGATTTCGCGAGCGCTGTCGTGATCTGCCCGTCGGTGTTGCGCTCCCCCCGGGTTACGAGATGCACGTCTGGCACCTGAAGAATCTCAACGGCTTTCTGAAGCAAGTCTCCACGTCGCCACAGAATCTCGAAGACCAAGTGGCAAGAAAGAGGATGCTAAGTGGAATGGGCCGGGGGAATGTAGACAAGCTTGCTCGGAAGACAACCCGGAAAAGTGCTCTGCACGTTCTGGGTCTCCTGTAGCCGTGAGTGCGCCAAGAGCCGCGGACTATGCGGAGATGCACATAAGGTGCATGTTCAAAAATCAATATAACAATGTATCGTGCACAATCCGTCATCTTTTGAAAGAGACAGCTGCTATGCGGGTCTGTGCAGCTCAACAACTTCAAGTAAGAACGGTCTGCATCGAGGATACCTGCCAGCTCTGCCAGCAGCTCGCATGATAACCTGAGTTTCACAGGCCGTAAATACGGTTGAAGTGAGGTACAGTCACCGTCGCCCGACCAATGTCAACAGTGGCGATTCCTGCTGGTGGCTGGTTTAAGCTGCCGGGAGAAGAAAGCGGGGTGCAATCATGCTTGCGTAGAGCCGCAGCGTGTGCGACGCGCAGACATACAGAAGCTCCGGAAGGACGGCCTCCCATGCAGGTGTCCTTTTCGGATCCATGCGATTTTGTGCCTCACTTTTGAATACATGTGTAAGTCCGTACCACGTACCGGGAGAGGGAGGGTTCCGGCCCTCCCATCCGCATGCATTCATTCTTCGGCGCGATCTGTTTCAGATCGAATAAATGAGTTCTTAATTTTTGCAACCTCCGCGGGAGAGGTAGGGCCTTCAGGGCCTTCACCCATCCGCAGGCATTTATTCTTCAGCGTTCTACTTCACTTTGAGAAACATAATGTGAAACTAAATTCGTGCCACGTCCGCGGGAGAGGTAGGGCCTTCAGGGCCTCGACTCATCCGCATGCATTCAGTCTTCAACATTGTCCAAGCTCACCCCTTGTCTACGGCGCGATGCCTGTAACTCGTGGCATCACTTCAACTCTGCAGCCCAGTCTAAAGCAGCCGTCTCCTTGGCACAGCATATGTGAGCTACGGCGTGTGCAGGACAATGTGCTTTCCATTCATTCCGTTTAACCCTCCAGGGAGCCGTGAAGGCCATGTCGATGACAGCCAGTCGAGCTGGCAGTCCTATGCTCTCGCTGTGTCTTTCTTCGCCGGTGCAAGCGCACCGCAAACACAAAATCGGGAGGTCAAGCTTCTGCGATATTGCCCTGCTGTTGGCTATGCCCCTAGATTCTTTCGACGGTTTGCCTTTTGGTTTGGCAGGGGCCGCAACGGCACTCGTCCATGTGTTTCACACATGCCGTAGAAGAAGACGCGACGCAGCCTGCAACGATGAAAAAGTGCCGATGCCATGCTGTGCAGCAGACAGTGTCGAGGAAGTTCAGGAGAGCCGGTGCAAGACAAGCCGGGCATGAAAGCAGACATTGCAGCATCTCAGCCCCAAGAAAGCCTGCACACGCATCATCCACGATCTTCGTACGATTCTGACTACTTGTGAGGCTGATCCTCCACATCTGAGCTGCCGAGATCGTGGGGGCCACACGGGCCCTAAATGATGTGTGCATCCGCAGAAGCTGGCAATGCCTGGTTGTGGCCTTTGATTTGGGCATGCTGACGAACTGAGCATGAGCGTCTAGATAGAATCATGGGAAGAACCGAAGCCAAAACAGATCGCCGCAGTGCGGGCCACTTGACCCAACAGAGGGTCCATGGGCCTTTCGAGAAATCCTCACGAAGCTCAGCCAAGGCCTCTGCGCATTGTGCATGTTTGCTCTTCTTTTCTGCCGCCTTCAGAAGAAGCTGGAGCAGGAAGAGACCGAAGGGTTTCAGCTGTGTGGACATCAAGAGCATGTCGTCAAAAGAGCGGTGGTGGGGAGTTGGACAACAGCCAGAGGGGCGAGCTTGCACAGGGCCCTTGCGGTCTGCAGGCCGGAGTTGCTTCTGCCTTGGCTCGAGCTGCGATATTCCAGAGCTGGGTGCTGGCAGCCCGTCCAATGGCCGGCTATGGAGCCTCCCGGCTTTTCAAGCCAATGTCACGCATAGAAGAACCCTACAAATTCACTCTTCCTCCGCCCACCTCCAGCTACCGTCTCCGCCACCACCACCACCACCACCA